CTGTCTGCTTGTCAGTCTGTATGTCTCTCTGTCTGTCTGCCTGTCAGTCTGCCTGTCTCTGTCTATCTGTCTGTCTTTCTGCCTGTATGTCTCTCTGTCTGTCTGCTTGTCAGTCTGTATGTCTCTCTGTCTGTCTGCCTGTCAGTCTGCCTGTCTCTGTCTATCTGTCTGTCTTTCTGCCTGTATGTCTCTCTGTCTGTCTGCTTGTCAGTCTGTATGTCTCTCTGTCTGTCTGCTTGTCAGTCTGTCTGTCTGCCTGTCTCTGTCTATCTGTCTGTCTTTCTGCCTGTATGTCTCTCTGTCTGTCTGCTTGTCAGTCTGTATGTCTCTCTGTCTGTCTGCCTGTCAGTCTGTCTGTCTGTCTCTGTCTATCTGTCTGCCTGTATGTCTCTCTATCTGTCTGCCTGTATGTCTCTCTATCTGTCTGCCTGTATGTCTCTCTGTCTGTCTGCCTGTCAGTCTGTCTCTGTCTATCTGTCTGCCTTTCTGCCTGTATGTCTGTCTGTCTGCCTGTATGTCTCTCTGTCTGTCTGCCTGTCAGTCTGTCTGTCTGCCTGTCTCTGTCTATCTGTCTGCCTTTTTGCCTGTATGTCTCTCTGTCTGTCTGCCTGTCTCTGTCTATCTGTCTGCCTGTCTGTCTGCCTGTATGTCTCTCTATCTGTCTGCCTGTCTGTCTGCCTGTATGTCTCTCTGTCTGTCTGTCTGCCTGTCTATCTGTCTAAACACTATAGGTGACTCCAAACTGGTATCTCTGTGCATCACACACTGCTCACCAATGCCAGAGAAAGCTCCCTTCCCAATGGAGGTCTGGGAGACAGACGTGGGCGACAGCAGCTGCGGGGGGGTCTGGGACTCCGTCAGGCCCACGATTGTTTGAGAGTGACGTCTCCCTTCCTCCTCTGATTGGCGGCTGCTGGGGAGAGGGAGGGACAGCCAGTGGAGATGGGTTATGTCCATATGGCTGAGAACCACATGGTCAGCTGCACGGCCAGCAGGGGGCAGCGTCCACGGGCCCCTGGTGACAAATCGAATTACCTTAATCCCTTCTTGGGCAGGGTGTTCCGATCCCTCTGGGAGCTGAGAAGCGGAGGACAATGACATAATTAAATGGCTGATGGCACATTTGCGGAGATGTGACGGGTGGCCAAAACACAACACGAAAGAATTACAGGACACAGATTTGCTCCAGATTGCAATTAAAATCTGTCACTGGGCACATTGTTTCAGGACCAGATTCACTTAAAGGATTATCAACCATCTGGGGCCACTTTTATACTTACTGTACTGTAGATATAAATAAACCGCGTTTACAACAGGCTTCCAGCTGTCCGAAATTACTAAACAAAAATGAGGAGGGCCACGCATAGTGTTCTATAACTGGGGTGCGTGGGGGGGGGTAACCACATGCATAGTACATTTGCAGACAGCCCCTTTATCTGTGGGACTGCGCAGTGCACCGCGTTTTACATGCAGGTGTGACAAAGCCCAGCGGTGATGTTTCCTACCACTTTGTGTGGGGCCCCTGATGTTTGGGGGCCCCCTATTGGCCACAAACCGTCACTACACTACATAATAAACAAACACATTGTTTACTTAGGCGATGCTGAAGCAGCATGTTCTGCTAACTAGCTATGGTCTCCTGACTCTACTCACTAGCTGTTTATTTTGTTTCTGAAACATCTGGGGGGGGGGGGGGGGACAACAAATCTGCCCCTGATGACATGCCATTCACAAGCTCCTGTTACTGTTACATCGTAAACTGCACTATCCTGACTTGTCTCCATGGCAATGCCCGGCCCAAGCGCTCTCAGAGACCTCTGTGTCTGTGACCTCGCTGTCATCGCCCCCCCCCAAGGTTACAGAAGGTCCGGTAAGGTGACTGACACTCCGGTGATGCAGCTGCCTACGCAGTGCTGCACTATGCTTGTGTTTATGAAGTCACGCGCTTTATGCACGAGGACAGAGCTGGTTCTCCGCGTGGAGACAACTACGGGACACCCTCTGCCACAAAATGAATATTTAATGCTTTTTAGCAGGCAGAAAGTGTCATGTACCCCATAGTGAGTGGGAAAATACAACCTGTCGTTCTCTCATCTCGCCTAAAGGCGGCGCTGGAGATATTCAGGCCTGCGTAAATGTCACAGAAACCTTTTGCACTAAAGGTAAGGGCTTCTGCTGGCCGAAATGAAGGGGCAGGACTGCGTCGGGGGCAGGGTGACCAGTCTGAGGAAGAGGTGGAGATCCATCAGAATCTATACCCTTTACTACAAGTTAAAACAGATAAAACAGGAGATGTCAGCAGGCTGGTAGGACTTGCGGGCTCAGACAGGCAGCTGGTGCAAAAACAAAAAGGCACGACCTTCTGAAAACACTCCGGAAGCTGAAAACCTCAGAGGGGGGCGCGTGGACGTCAGTCTGCACGGCCAGGAGATGTTACACACACGGCCTGGGTTTGCATTAGGGCCGGCAAACGCCACCCCAAAATGGCAGCACAACAACGGCGGGACCGTGGCAGCCAAAAGGGGCAGCAGCCTGTTTAAAGTGGGGGTACCATCAAAGCACTCCTGCTGTACCTTAGAACAGGACACCTGCTTCAGGAAAAACAAATCTAAATGGTAACTTCCTGAAGTCGGAGCTCTGATTCTACCATATCTGTGTGCAGTGGCAGGTTCAGCGTTTCCGGGGCCCAAGTCACTTTGGGGCCCCTCTGCCTCGCCTTTAAATATTTGAACAACTAAATAAATAGCTAAATAAATAAATAGTAGAGTTAGGAGATGGTAGCTAGCTAGCTGATTGGCAGGACATGCTGCTTCAGCATCTACTAAATGAGGAACTTGTGTATTTATTATTTAGTGCAGTGACTGTCTATAGCCAACAGGGGGTCCCCAAAGCTCAGGGCCTCATATAAATGCATGGCTTAGTGGCGGTAAACACTGTCACCGTCAACCTCCATCAGTAGCCTTTGAATGATAGATGTACCTTTCCGTAACCGTGAGGGAGGCTTTGCCGCCGGGGAGCCACCCCCCCGGGGGTCTCTCCTCGTCTTGGGGCTGGGGACCAGGGTAGCCGTCGGAGGGCGCCACACTCATGGGGAGGGACAGGGACTCCATGCTGCGGTGCAGGCCGGACAGGCGGGGGTACGGCAAGGCCGAGTCACCGAAGCAGCTTGGGGAGTTGACGTTGAGGACAGGGGCAGGGCTGGGCGTCAGGCAGGGTGTCCCCACCCCACTGGGGGCTGCCAGGTCCTGGAGCTTGGAGTAGGACGGCTCTTTGGGGGGTGGCTCCGTGTTAATGGCCAGTCCGCCGTCCTCACTGTTGGAGTTCAGGCTGTCCAGCTGGGAGAGGCAGACCGGCTTGCCAATCAACAGCTTACCCTGAGCTCTGTAAATCAGACACGAGAAGGAGAGGTCAGTCACCCCCACCAGCGTGGCTCTCTGGGGGCCTCACAGAAGCCCGGGAACATCAACACCCCCAAGTGCTAAGTGTTTCCTGCCCCGTTGAGCAGCAGCAGTTAAAAGTGCATTTTTGAATGTAACCCAAGACCGGAAGGGACTTATGCAAAACCAAGCAGACATCTTAACACATCAAGACACGGTTTGGGGGGGCAGAGTTTCATAAAGACAGCTGGTCGCCCTGCCTTTAACTCCAGCTGAATGCTCAGACGTGGGAGCAGAGGTGGAATGTTCAGGTCCAGAGAGTAAAAGTCCAGACCAAGACTTTGTCTCAACTAACCAGTTGAGTACTCTATGACTGTGACTCTTAATACTCAACCGGTTGGTTGACAAAAAATCTTGGTCTGGATTTTTACTTTCTGGGGTGTGAATGCGCTTTGGTTTTCAATTTTAGCAGAGGGCAGGAAGCGAATGCCTTCAGCCCCCACAGATGTCAGGGGTGAGAGGCTCTGCGAGAGCCTTAAGCAGACAGAAAGGCTCTAAGGGCCTTGAGAAGGACCTGCTCACAGGTGGGGCCTCGACAATGTATCCCTGAGATCATTATTCAGCTGTTCAAATGGTCTCCACCGATGAAAGCAAAGTTAGGTCTATATTTAGACATTAGCTAAGTGGACCCCCTGCTCTCCGATCTCGAGCTGCTTCCGGCTGCAGGTCCTGGATTAAGGAGGATGGTCAGGAGATGCCCAGGCGGACAAGAAGGTATAGGTACCAGAGCAGGGCACAGAGCCTGGACATGGACCAACATTAACTCATCGGAACATCTGGATATCGGCCCAGGGTAAGACCTGGGCCTTATCTAGAGTGCGGCTCACTGACCATTTTATTAACTTCACAAATTAAATTAAATTAAATTAAATTATTAAATTTAGCAGTAATATGAGAAAAAATAAAACTACACTATGCAAAATGTCTTTGATTACATTAGCTAATTTGTATATATATACTGCTGTTTAGGCACTCAATAACACTCTGAATATGAATAAAAATAGACACTAAAATTCCAGGTGGAGGTTATGGGTTTGTGTACATCCTTGGATACGGGCGGGCGGGGGGCTATACCAAGAGCTGCTTCCGGGAGGTAACTCTAATCAGCAAAGTCCCACCCCTGCCACCGCACAACAACCAATCAGCATCCTACCATGCCTGTGGTCAACCAATAGGAGTCCTTGGTGTGTCGGCCAATAAAAGACAAAAGCGTGCTTTTAAAACCCTGAATTTCCATTCATTTTTTTTTCTTCAAAACCCTTAACACTTGGGAGTCCAGTGAGGAGAGTTTTACAAGGGGAACGGCTCATTTAACAATCAGAGGGCTCCCAGCTACCACATTTACAGTCTACCTCAGCGCTTGCCAGTGCCGTAACTTTTAATAAAATGTAACTCAGAACTGGAAATAAAGCCGCACTCTGTATGGGGGAAGGAACGATTTGGGCAGTTAAGCCCTGTGCTTCCCCAGAGAGGCTGCCTGTCACCAGTGAGAGTGGGAATGTAACAGCACCCTGAAAGAATCTGCTCTTTATGCCACAGCGAACAGGTCAGAATACACCCCCTCCCCCAAACCTATAAAAAATACAGGGGCCTTATGAATCAGTATCAGAATGCATGTGGTGCCCTGGTTTTTGTTACGCTGTTGATGAAAATTCTGGTTAGGCCTTTGTGCTTGTGGTCACCAGTTTGAGTCCTGGGGCCTGTTTCACAAAGCAGGGTTTCTTGCTTATCCAGATAAGTTGCCAGATTTAAGGTAGTCTGGGCTAAATGTAAGTTGATGAAAATAAGGTCTATTTAGCCCAGACTACCTTAAATCTGGCAAGTTATCTGGCTAAGTAAGTAATCCTGCTTTGTGAAACAGACCCCTGAGCTCAGCAGGGCAGCCACATATTTCCGTTGTGCCCTAGGGGTGCTGGATGGACGGCTCACCCTGTGCTTCCCAAAGCTTCACTCACATATATGTGTGTCTTAAAAGGAGAGCATGATGGGATACGTGAAAAGTAACATATTCCAATGAAGTTAAGCAAATCAAACTTCTTTTCAGTGCAAGTACCTGTGGGTGCTGGGGGAGGGTAACTCGGACAGCCTGCCCCCAGTGGATGGCCGTGGGCCCAGCATTTTGGTTCCGGAGTCTCCAGGGACCTGCGTGGACTTGAACGGGCCAGACTCGGGTTCCGAGGCCCCCGCTTTGGCTTTGGCTTTCTCCTTCTCCTTTTCGCGGTCCGTCTGGTTCACGGGCCCAGCTCCGGCTCGCCCCCCCGCCTTAGCGGCCATCTCCTTCAGCCGGGAGCCGCCAGTGCCCCCAGTGGCGCAGGTGAGTGACACGGGTTTAAGGCTGAGCACGCTGGTGTCCATGCTGCTGCTGACGGGCCGGGGCCCACAGCGGCCCGTCAGGCTCATGGCGCTGGGCTTGGCAGGCCGCGGCAGGCTGCGGTACTGGATGTTAGTTCGGGCGTTAGGCGAAAGAAATCCGGGATCGCAGTTGGCAACATCCAGGCTAGTCTTCCTCCCCCCGCCTCCCCCACTTCCACCGCCTCCTCCTCCCCCACCGACCGGCTTCACGGGGATACCGGAGGAGCGGGGAGTCTTGCCTACAGTCGCCGAGCCACCGGATATGGTGGTGCCCCCTGCTGTCATGACTGTGGCAGTACCCGTAGCTGGGGTTAGCTTCTTGTACCCGAAGGACCCAGATGGAGAGGGCCGCACAAGGCCGGAGGGGGGTTTCCGAGTCTCCCCCCGCTCTTTGCCGGCATCAGAGCAGGAGCGCTGGAGCCCTGTGGCCTTCACCGCCATCTTGGCCTTGTCTAAGGCTTTCTGGTCACTCCTGGGAACTGGAGACAAGTAAAACAGAAAGACTTGACTGTGATGAAAGCCAAAGTTTATCCTTTCTATCGTTATCAATTTCACGCGTTTTTTTACTTCATTGTTTTCCCAAGCCTAACCCAAAATAGGTGCCCCGGACAGGAAGTAAGGAAAGATAGATTAAACAGAAAGTGGCCCACACCCTCCTGGAAACCTGCTTTTAATACCAGGTTTCCAGTTTACGTTTCCACAGAAAACCTCATTGTGGTGCTCAGAGGTCGGAACAGGCCAAGCCACTGGGACTGGGTATTCCCGGGACGGTCTGGCCTAACCCGCTAGCGAACAGCATGAACACCTCGAATGCCGCAATATTCACGCCCATGATCCCACTTTAATTAGCTAACCCAGGATAAATTGTCTATCCTTCAAAGCATGCTCTGTCGCTCACACGTGTTATCTGTCCTTCATAGCACCATTCACTTCTACAGTCTATCCCTTGCGGCGCCAGTTGTTATTCTAAGATACAACCTATTCCTCATAGCACCCTCTATTATTTACACAGACAATGAATGCCTCACAGCATCCTCTGTCATTCACAGGTACAGACAATCCTTCACTTCACCCTCTTTCATTCATAGGAATAGTCTACCATTCACATCACTCTCTGTCACTCATAGGTACAGTCTATCCTTCACATCACCCTCTGTCATTCACAGGTACAGTCTATCCTTCACATCACCCTCTGTCATTCACAGGTACAGTCTATCCTTCATAATGCTTTAAAGCATTCACACAGTCTATTATTTCAGTAGTGCCCAATTTACACAATTACACTCTGCGCTATTAGCAACACAGTAAGTGAACCTCTCGACCGGGTCTACATGCTGTATATATTCAGTTGAAGCCATATGATTCACTGTTTGTAGGATCGAGCTGATGGTGTTAGGGAGCAGGTGACCCAATAATTTGGTACAGCCCTGCCTCAGACGTATCTCCATGATGCCAGTCAGTTTTGTCAGAGCGGCTTCGGTCCTGGAAACAGCACCTGTGCTGGCGGAGGGACCTGCTGACATGAGCTTTCTGCAGCCCCCATGGAACAGAGGAGCCTTAGGGTCTGTTTCAGTGTATCTACACTTCTGGGGCACTCGGCGACAGAGCCCCTCCTTCTGAGCTGGGTCTCCACCACATGGGGCAGGCCTGCAAAAACAGTCCTTCTAGCCTGAGTGAAAATGGTGCATTAGCCAAGATGCCCAGAGGCCGTTCATGCCCAGATAGTCAGATGGATGGTGATCTTCTCAACTCTTCTCCAAGACTAATGCACCAAATTTATTACAGCAGCTTCTAAGATGTATGGAGAAGAAAGTCTGTTCTGTGGCACTGATTAAGCTATATTAAGTTACATTAAATATTTAAATTAAAATATGATAAGTCACCGCTTTTCAGCTACATCCCACCAGTCCTGCTTAAAGGGTGAATAAATTATGAGACCCTCCAGCCTGATACTGAGAGGGGAATCGGATCCGTTATCGCAAAGCCCTCTTCCCAGAATTACTGGGTCACATACACCATAGAAGGGAGTCCAGGCAGAAGCGGAAAAGAATCCAAGAGACCCTTCAGACAGTGAGGAGGCTGACGATTGAAGAAGCACCTCCACACCTCGAGGGAGGTGTTGCTGTTGCAGGGGGATGGGTTGTGAAAATATGCTACTGTTTCACATGTTCTATTCATTTGACATGTTGCAAAACAAATGATGACCTGAACTCCATCACACAGTGCTTGTACAGGTAAGAACCTTACCAGGTGGGGAGAGCCTGGGTGACTCTGCAGGGTGTTAAATCAAGGTTTAACACTCCTGGGTGTAACTCACATGTTCCTGCTCTGGCTGCTCGTTAAATTCCAGGCAGACAGAACATAATGTGAAAAAAGTAATAAGTAACCTGTTTTTTCAATGTTAGGTTTCGGACTATTACCAAATAGAAGTTGATTGCTCAAACACTTGTGTTTCAGTTAAATGCCCTAAAGTTAAGTAAGCCTGATTCGTGAAGTGCTGAATCACATGAATCATTAAATTCTGCGACCTGGATAAGATGTCAAATGATGCTTTTTGTCATTATTCCTATCTATGGGAAGTTTAAGGCAGAACTGCTGTTACTCTGGATACTCCTCTTATCATAGATGGATTTTGAGAGAGACCACAGATCAAATGACCACCTAACCTGACCGACCTAACCGACCCCCAAAACTGTAAAAATCCAGCTGATTAGCTGTTCAGATTCAGTGTTGAATGGTGACATCGAGTTAACATTTTCTAACGTGGCCGTATGACGGGAGGCCTCCTCGAGAGCGAACCCCCCCCCACCCCCCAGGACATGCCGATGACAGACCTACAGCAAAAGTGGTGAAACGTTCACATCAAAGCCAACCTTGGGTTGAAGGCAATACCCACGTTTAAGCAAAGGGCCGTACCAACGGCTGACTGAAATACACAAAGATGAGCGTTTCTTTCTCCGCTGCTCTTTCGGCTTTCGTTGTAGCACGTTAAACACGATCCCGGCAGAAATGCAGGACGTACCCCCCATCCCCCCCCCCACCACCCCCCCACAGCATGTAGATCACACTTGGAAACAGCCAGAAACTGCGTCTTTGTGTCCAGCTGGCAGCAGGAAGGGAGGAACGGGGCTAAGTTACAAGCAGGAGTGATTCCAACGGCAAGATTTCCCCGTCGACGTGGGCGGGTGTACGGAAAGGGGGGCACATTATATCAGGCCGCTCTGAAAAAGCATTACATCATCAGAGAGTGCAGACAGTATATATCCTCCCCGCTACCGCTGCACTGTATTTATCATAACTTAGGCCTGTCAGAGTGGCTGAATTCCTCACGTAAGCTGCGGGAGCTGTCATGTGCTCTTAAGGTGCGCTAAAGTATTTCAATGACAGACTGGCTCTGTCTTCAGGGGACTGAAATACCAACTGATACCTCACGAGCGTTTGCGCGATTTGGAAGAGTGAGAAGCATATTGGGCCACTCTTCCTATATCACCCGTTACATTCAGTCTTTCTTTATTCATTTATCTCATCCTTTACTCCATCCCATGCTGCTTTCTGTAGGTAGACAAAAGTATGTGTAAAAGTATGTATGTCTTATATGTTATGTGTTATACTGGGACACAAATTCCAAAACAAATTCTTTGTATGTTTGATGTAATTGGCCAATAAACATGTTTCTGGTTCTGCATCTGATTAGGACTCGTATGGGTGAGTATTTGACATCAGCCACTAATGCCATCATTCCTGGAGGTGTTGTTTATGTGTATTGGGGCTTTTTCTGTGTGTGTCCCCCCCGTGTGACACTGGGACTCACCTGCCACTTTCAGTACGCTCTGGGAGGTATGGGTGATGGGGGACGTGACCCCCACGGGGGGGTTGCGGCCCTTCTTGAGGGCCCCGGGATGGCCCAGGGTCTGGGGCTTCTTCAGCTCCCCTTTGGGCATGCCGTCCTCACCCCCCGTCGTCTCCTGGGGGCGGGACTTCCTCCACTTGCGGGAGGACTCTGTCTTCAGGCTGCCCGTGTCGTAGGCACTGCTGTCTGCCTTGTGGTGTGCCTTGCCATCCTCGCTGTACCAGGAGAGGCCACTCTCCACCAGTGAGCGCTTCTCCGCATCCGTGCGCAGCTAGGGGTGGGGGGCGGGGGGGAAAACCGTGATTGGCTCAGGCCACACAGAACTAATAAGTAGCACATTTCAGATTTGACTAACAGACAGACACTATTTAGCAGCGTATAGGTCAGCAACAGTGAAAATGCTATTCAAAGCAGCATCACTAAATTTGCCGTGTTAGAATACTGTTTACTTCCGTGTAGGATGACCAGGTGACCAATCAGACAGTGAGAAGGTGTAACTAGTGGGATTAAATCAGGGATGGGCCATGTGATGGGTAAGGGATCAATTAGGCCGTTTTTAGAGACTGCGTTTTCAAAAGTCTTCGTTTTCACTCATCCACACCTCAGCTCTAAAACGGGAGATTCTAGAACTATAAACACAAAGATGTAGCAGTGTGGACGTAGCCGCATGCTAGCAGCAGGACCAGTGGTGGATCTAAAATCACCCCCCAGCCCACACTGGCAGACCAGGGTTGGAGAGGCCCTTGTAGAGGATTCCTGACAGTCATCGCCAGCAGTGACACTCCTCACTTCAATGCTAGCTCCACTCCTGAGCAGGACCTAATACCATTCTAACTATGCTAGCCAAGGTGCTAACCAAAGTGTCAGACTCCCTACTGGTAGCTAGCAAGACAGATAGCCAAGTTGCACATAAAACAGCTTGTGTGTCTGGTAATGTTTCTTAAGCTCTGTTGAAACATTGCATTGGAAATGACCTACCTGCTTTTAACCTTTTTTACACTCACTCCTCTTCTTTAACTAGCTACTACCGCGATCATAAGTTTATCTGCATGCATGAACCCAACGAATGGGAGGGATAAGAATGGAAAAAAGACTTTTAGAGTGTGGGGGTGGGACTATGGGGTGACTGTGGGGACGATGGCATCAACTGGAAGGAACGCCAAGTTGTAGCACACAAAAAAATTAACTCCCTTGATATCATTATGCATAAAACTGCCAATCATATTAATTTATTTATTAAACGATGGTGCCAGAACGCCACTGTGGATCATTCCAGCCAACTTTAACCCCTGGTAACGGCTCTGTAATAAATAGTAATAGTTGCGTAATTCAGTGTCATTGTGAATTAATGCTCACCAATCTAAAGCTCAACTGCTCTCCTGCTATGAAGGAATGTTCACCATCTCATCTAACCTACATGAGAAAAAAATCCAAAAAAAAAAAAAGATCCAAAATACTATTCGCCCACAGACTGCTGAAAGGCAGCATTCATCATCTGTCCTTGAACGGGAGTAGGGAATCATTTTCTGTGACTCACCAGCAAGGTAGATAATTACTGCACTTTCCCATAATGATCTGATTCCGAACTTTTATGAGGGTATTCACCCAGTAATCACTCTGAATAGCTCCTCTGAGAGGAGTCACTGTCTCTTTAATTAAAATCTGAGAGACTCTAACAAGCCAGAGATCTGTAGGCATCTTCACTGCCTGTAGTCTTCAGGAGGTCTTCCATGAGCACACCAGCTTTGCACCTGATCTATTTCACTGTTTCTCATCTGTGCGGTTAGTGCAGTTAGGGGCTCTGGCTGAAGGCACGAAGACAATCCAACAAATCATCTCTTTCGGACTGAGAGTGAGGCATTTCTAACGCAAGCGTCATGTAAGTCACCCCATCTCGCTCTCCATGAGACACACCAACACATATACAGGTAACAGCAAGCTGGAGGGTCACAGTACAGGGTCAACCTGGAGCCGGGAGCCATGGGCCTTGCTCAGTGACTCAACACACACAATCAACTTTGCTGGCCCTGGGATTCGAACCCGTGACCTTCCTAACACACTGTCCCTGGGTAAAGCAGCCCAGGCCCATTGAACTGCCCTGGGAAGACTTCTCTCTTTGGACTTTTCAGAGCTACAGTGCATCGGCATTGAGGCATTGTGCCTATTCTGGAGATTCACTAGATGTGAGACAAGCTGTATGAAACTGACATGTGACCAGCTAAGGCACAAAGAGCTACAAAGGAGAGACACAAGAAACGGGCTCCTCTGGAGATTGCCGGCACAGCCCCGCCTCCCCAAGATAATTAGGTGACAGGAACGTCTGCTGCCCCCTGCTGGTGGACCAGTAAAAACAAGGGCCTTGTGGGTGCGGTTTCAGGAGGCACGGTGGGTGATGATGTACCGCGTGAGGGAGACATGAAGCGACTGCATCCTTTGGGTTAATTTGGCCCGCTGTGCCCATATGGCATTTTACAGCAGTCTTCCACAACCCGCATCCCGCCAATGCGAGGTTGCCATGGCAGCAGCGCCATGGCAGCCATTAGCACAGAGCACATCCCTGTGGATAAGCGCGATGCCAGGAGGAGCGTCATTATGTGCTGGCAGCCAGCAGAGCTGGGCGCTAGGGCTCCTTCCATAAACCGGAGGGACCTGCCCTAGAAGGGGGCAGCTATGCTGACTCGGCAAAAGAACGCTAAGCAGCATTAGCCCACGGTTAGCATGATAGCAGTCTTAGCACCTTTAGCACATCTGCTGAACATGTTAAATATACTTTCTTACTAACTGAAACAAACGTAGTGTTACATTCACTAAAGAGATGTGAACAGCACCCTTAATGATGTGAACAGCACCCTGATCTGCCAATGGACCTCACAGAAAGTATCCACATCGCTGACAAATTAGCTTCACCCAGCTTCACCCGGTCTGTCAGCTTTGACCAAACACGAGCAGCACACGGGTTTAACAACGCCAGACGACCACCGTGGGTGGAATCAGTGATCAGTTTCTATTTCTGCCCCCTTCCCAACCCCCCCCCAAAAAAACAAAACACTTTGAGCCCCAATCCCCCCTCAGATGTTTCAAAAACAAAATAAATAGTTAGCAGAGTCAGAAGACCATAACTAGTTACCAGAGCTTCAGCATTTCCTAAATAAGAAATGTGTTTATTTAATATTTAGTGTAGTGACAGTTTGTGGCCAACAGGAGGCCCCCAAACCTCAGGAGCCCCACGCAAATCTGAGGTTTCAGTGGAGGTAAACATCTCCTTGACATGATGTGAACCACAAGTGGGGGTCCTGTGGCACTTGGGGTCAGACACAAAGCAAAACAAAGACGCTGAGAGGGGGGGGGTTGGGTTTGAACACTCACCACGACGGCGGAGTTGCGGCGCGAGCCGACGGGCGAGGTGGGCAGCGAGGTGAGTGAGGAGCTGCCGTTGCACTCCTCGGAGCTCAGGTTGTCCGAGCCGTCGCTCAGGCCGCTGCTGATGGAGCTGCTCTCGTCCCAGCTGGAGAGGATAGGAAGGGGGGGGGGTCAGCAAAGGGGTTCGCACCACACAGCCCAATACCCGAGACTGACCCCGTCCTGGTGTCCCCGTGCAATTTAGCAGGGTGCAGTGTACAGGGGACACACATTTCCTGTCATTCCGACGGACGGACAGTTGGATGGATGGATGGATGGATGGATGGATAGATAGATAGATAGATAGATAGATGTGCTCTCTATTTACTATTCAGTCTGTTTCTGGTCTGTTCCAGTCTTATTCTGACAGATATAGTCCCAAACAGAGATCAAATCCCTAAAAACTTTTTATAGAACAGAAAACATAATAACAGGCTTGGAAATTACTGGAAGAAGTTGTTGGGACACCAGGCTGCTAATTTCAGGTGCATCAATCCCACTTCTGACAATTTTTGGAGCAGTTAGCAGTTAAGGACCTTGCTGGAGATCCCCACAGTGAAATCACTCTGCCATCTGTGGGATTTGAACCAGCAACCTTCTAACCATAGGCACCACCTCCTAACCCACTGACCCACAGACCGCCTGTAGGTTCTGTGGTTAATGTCCTCCCATGAGTCCACTCCTCGCCCAGCCAGCACAAAAGACGTGGCATGATCAGAGGTACCAGGCGACGAGGGAGACCAGAGCAGCAGCTGCTGTGGAGGGCGAGGGCCGCTTGACATGCAGGCACACGCAGCTCCATTCCAGGCTGGCTCTCCTCGAGACAAATGCAAGAGGCTTCCTGGGTGACTGGCTGTCTAGGTCACACGGTGGCCTTGGGACACTCAGGACGAGTGCGGGGAAGAGGAACAAAGGCCCTTTAACTGAGCAATTCACCTGCTTGCAGTAAAACTCCAGTGATATCTGTCTGCACTTAATTTGTTAATTATCATTATTATTATTATTAGCTTGGTTTGCATAATGCACACTTTTTTGCACTTTGTCTTTGCACTTTGCAATTTTGTTTTAAAGTTCATCTTATCTATTATTTTATTTAGGTAATGCAGCTAACGTCAGATTAGACAACATGTGTCACATAAATATATTTAAAAAGTTTTAAAAACGTAAATCTATTTGTTTCACAGAGATATGCGGAAAGGTGCCACACTGCATCCACCCACATATTAGCACCAAACCAATCGTGTTTTCTCCGTACCATTAGCTACCACATGAAATTTCACTAATTCACACACAAGATTTAAGTTAATTATATTTAATGTCTGAACTTGCCGTTCAACAGCCCTACAATATACTCTATACCTCCAATGTTCAAAAGTACATTTCGCATTTTACTGAGATTCTTTTAATTCCATTCATGCAGCAAAAGAATAAATGTCCTTACGCCCCAAAATACGGCTAACCCAGGGGTAGAATTTAATTAAATAGAAAATGCAACATTAACGCACCTACTGTATATATACAGAGATAAATTCAGAAATAAATGCATTAATATAATTTAATACAACAAAAATACCTCAACATGTAGCTACACATGGGGTTTATACTTTATATTTATTTTTATTTATTTAGCACACGCTTTTGTCCATATAGCGCATTACAAACGGCTGTCAGGGATACGACTATAAGTACCGCAGGAGTGTAATTTATGAAGACAGTTTTACTCCTCCTATAATCTACGGGGTTAAGCTTGAGGTGCTGACGGGGGATTTGGGAGATTAGCAGCATCGTGGTGGGGGTGACATGCGATGACGCATCGTTCAGGCCCTACGGGGAAACCACGGCGCTTGTCATCATTCAGTAAAATGCAAAAGCATCCAGTCAGAATGATCAGAGGATCCATCAGCCGGCAGCGACCGGCGGCGGACTAACTGCTGCCGTTTCCCTAAAAAGCCTGAAGCGGTTTCGGTCTAACAGCAGAAATGCCGCGCCTATCCGAGAAGGGAGCTTCAGATCCGCACTTAACTTCCACATTTAACATCTCCATTCATATACGACGCTGCTAGGTTTATAGATTTAACTTGACACGTTCCGCTTAAAAATATCTGGCCATGGGAAGTAATTCAGTAGAAGTCTCTGTGCCCAGATTTATCAAGAAATGCGTTTTAGGAACCAAAACATATTAGGAATATAAATTATGAGAAACGTTGGCAGAGGGTAACGAATAGGCGTTATTTCCACTTCTCTGGAACGACGAACTACTGCAGGAGGCGACATGTGATCTATAGACGTCAGAATAAAATGGATAAACCGTTACCGATTTCTTAGGGAAATTACCACAGGAGACCTACACGGTTTACCGGAGAAGTTAGTTTCTTTGTACCTGACAGAAAAAACTAGGTAAACTACATAATCAGGCATTAACAGCCAGATGCGTCGGAGGCATGTCAAAACATGGAAAACACCACAGTTTAGTTATGCATATTGTGAAAGTTGCACCAGTTAAACGTTTATTTAAGGACGCTGGTCCATTAATTGACCACTGTATTAGACGCACCTGCTCATTAAGGCAGATAACTGAAACTGAGTGCATACAGCAGGTCAAGAGGTTTGGTTTAACATGTGACTAAGCATTATAACAGCTAAGGTGCCTGATCATTGTTTGTGTCAGACCCGATGGTTACAGTATCTCAGAAACTGCCAACTGTGTCTACAGTTTATAGAGAATGGTGTGATGAGGATCACAGGTTAATGAGAGAGGTCAGAGGAGGATGGACGGACTCGTTAAAGCTAACAGGATGACCACAAATAGAGAAATAACTGCTCAGAAGCAGAACTCAACCAACGACGAGGTTCTGGAGACACACTGGAGTTCTGCCAGTTACCATGGAAGGGTACTGCAGTACCACTGTACTCTGTGCAGTTATGACCTAATACATAACAAAAAGACCCTGATTAAGCTAAACTGATCTCACTGTCTAAAACGATCCATCGCTGCCATATTCGCTGCCATATTCTGCAGTTCGGCAAATGGATACTCGTCCAAGCTTCCGGTGCAGAGGGGTATTATAACCCGCTCAGGCGTGCGTACATTTATTGGACAGGCAACGTCTGACGCGCCATATTGTGCCCTAATTACTCACATGGTGAAACTCAGACCGGCTGGATAAGCCTTGCACTAGGTCTTACGGGGGAAAGCCTGCTTAAAACATCTTTTTAAATTTATATTATCCACAAGCTTCCTGTCAGTCTGTCAACACGTATGCTAATTATTTTGTTAGATAACTAATTATTGAACAGAAAACAAATCCTTTGAAGTTAAGAACAAACCACGTGATCAATACAATCCTAGTCAATGTGCAATAGTTCGTAGACATTTTTTCTTTAAATATAAACAGTATGAATGCAAGAAAACCAGTAACTGAATGGGCAGTTTAAAATCTGTAAATGCAGTATCTAAATTAAAATAAATATACTGGACATTAGTGATCACAGCAATACTGAAAATTATGCATGGTTATAATGCTGAGGTTTGTGTATAGCTTCATAGATATTTGGTTTCACCCTCTATCTTGATTAAAATTTGTGATCCAGCAGCGAAGAAAAAAGGAGGCATTAGGAGAGGTGATGAGAAATCAGAGAGAGCTCACAGGGAGTTCTGGGACGTGATCAGGAGAGCTGGGCCAGAGCAACTGGGTTAATCCGAGCTGCTTCCAATAGAGAAAGCCACGCCCCACCTGGTCACACCCAATCACAACGCAGTGATGGCTTCTTAGAGCCACGGCCAACCTGGCCACACCCAATCACAATGCAGTGATGGCTCCTTAGAGCCACGCCCACATAAAGCCTATCACCCGAGGGCCCCACTGGGGCAGTAAGTGCACTGAAGCTTGTCAAAACCAACTGTAGCTGTGATCACATGCATGATGGATCAACAGTCACAACTGTCATCACTGCCTTTCTGAACAGCCCGCCATTAAGCTCTCAGTGTTTTCCTGGTAACGGATATCTTATCAGTAGGTTAAGATCAAGCCCACAGTAGCCATAGCCCAATTTTTTAACCCACAGCTAATTTTACAACACCTACCAAGCATTCAGTAGCTGCAAACCACAAAGCATGTGACTGCACAGCTAGATAATGGTGAAATTAGGCAGGCAATAAATTATAGGGGCTCTGTAAGGTGGAGGGGATTGCAGCAAATCGATTAGGAAAGATTTATGCGCAGACATACATAAATGTATGTATACATAGAACAAGAAAGACAATATTTTTTCTTTTGGAGAATGTGAGGTGGGGGGAATGTGACCTGAATTTAGTGTATATTTAGAACACACCTCGCTGGGTGATGAAATGGTCTGAGCAGGAACGCATCAGCAGAGCAGCACCCAGATACCTTAAACACCGCAATCCGAATAAAAGACTACAGCCAGAAACGTGAAGACTCTTTACTGGCCTAAATATGCTCGCTTGTTATAGGCTAACTGGAGCTAAATGTGCATTCTTTTGTAGCATAGCGAATAGTCTTTAAAATAAGACAGAATGGTGGTATTTTATTTTTAATTTTATATTCTTGTTACATGCTAAAATACACTATAGCATATTCTGCTAATTCATGGGCAGGGTGCATGTTTCTTTAGCTTTAAATCGCTAAGTCTTACAAAACTCATTTTCACCATCATTTCTTTATATCACCATCACTACAAAGGAAATATGATATAGCTGAGATTATTAAGGGTGAGACTGAGCAACTGGGCAATCAAAATCCGAGAGTGGGAACAGGGAACGGTGAGGATATCGGCGTTCAGCCATCCCTAAAAATCAGCTGCTGTCCTTTACTCTGTGGAAAAGGGATCGGAAGCTCCAGCCCCAACACTGTTGCTATGCTTGTTGCTATGCATGTTAATAAAAGGACATTGGCCCACAGGTGGTCGTCCGTCATCAACCCAGCAGATTTTGCGAAGGGGGGGCTATCGACCGATGGGCAGTCAGACAGGCTAATCGTTTGCTTTAGATCTACTTTTTTGAGGATGCATTCACGTGGGTCAGTGTTGGTACAGCATAAATATATAACATGGGGGGGGGGCAGAGAGCCCCCCCATGGACGTCTA